AAAAAAAAAAAAAAAAAAAATCAGATTGATCTGAACGGGTCATGTCTACTTGATATACTAACAAAAATTTCCTGGATCACGCGTACTAAAGGCATCCAAGGTCGAGTGTTGATCAATACCCTTGCTTGATACCTCGATCAACACTTCCATTGACACTTGATCAACATCTCAATAGTCAGTCGAGAGTTCAACAATATTTGCAAAACACACCATTGAGGACTGATTGATACATATGAGACACTCAACACTAGGCCAACTATCGACCAACTGTTGATCAAGTGTTGATCAGGTGTCAATCAAGATGACGATAGAGTATTGATCGAGATGTCCTTAGACTGCTGATCGAGATGTTGATTGAGTGTTGATCAAGGGTGGATTGAGGGTATCAATTGACAATCAACCGTTGACGCCCTTTGTACACATGATCCAATTTCCCTTCAGTAATGGTACCTCTAAACTGTCACTGCCATCAGCTTCTCTGTCGATAATATCAAATGTTTCTTCATGAAGTCGTTCAGCCTAAAAAAAATTGTAGATCACTGATTACTAACAATATTTTTACTTTACATGGTAAGTAACATCAAGATTCAAAATCTTAGTATTGACAGGTGAAAAGTTCAGAAAAACCACTCTGAAACCTGAGAATATCCACTGGCCCAATTGTTGCCTGCACCTCCACCATGTTTTGAAGTGTACATGTTTTCAGGGTTGTACAAATTGGCATACGGCGAAGAAGTGATTGCATCTATTACCTGAAAAATATTTCAGTCAGCTGTTTATTGACAAATAAGAGACCACCAAACAATAGCGAATTCACTTACCCTTGGTTCTAAATCCAAAAGAACTGCTCTGGGAATATAGTGTTCATCATCAGCCTAAGAAAAAAATCAGTTGCATCATGACTTTAAAAATAAAGACAATCACTACTGTAAAGGTATTACAAAAATAGGAAGTGGGTGCATATAACCTTTACCTGATAGAAAAACACATCTTTTCTGTCAGTCCCATCTGTGGCAAAGTCTTCAAGGATTCCATCTGGAGATCAAAGAAACATACATAAAAGACAGACCATTATTTTTTGAGGGGAGCGGAGGGGAGGTTGAGCAATTTTCTGGGGCATGAATTTTTTTCTCACCTTTAGGTTGTGCATGATATTTTCTTGGCGGGTAATAGCTTGCATAATAATTTTTTTAAAGTCAAACACAGGACCTGGTTAGCTGTAGCGCTTGGTCGATTTTTTTCCCATGGTTCCCCTTGCATGGTTTTTTTTTTCCAGCTCAGTTTTTGCTGTGCAGGAATTATTTTTAGAAATTACCCATTCCCCACTCCTCCGAAGAGTAATGGTCTGTACCTAATGATAGCCTCACTGAGTGTGGATAACATAACTACACTGATAGCATCTGCCAGGAAGCCAGTACTAAGATGAAATTCGTTTTCGCCTCAATCTCGCCCAACTCTGCGCCCTGTTTGTGTTTTACTCTTCTCTATTCCTTGAAATAATCCAGTTAAACATCTTCAGAATAATGCACGGCGATTTTTGATTGAAGCTGGGAAGAGTCGCAGTTGGACGCAGTCATGAATATAAAATTTGTTTGAGGACAATCAAGCGCGGATATTGTTTCAACTCTCGTTCACCCAGCGTGCAAAGAAAGTCATGTCCGATAGCCCGGGATTAGCGCATTTTCGTGGTTTTGCAGTCGGAATCTGTCTTGGGCAAGTGAATTTTCTTTGGAAAACGTTGGAGAAAACTCAGTTACAGACTGAAGTACTATGAGAGATGAAATTTTTGGGGGCTAGTGAGAATGTCTCTTGGGTCAGTGCATCATAGTTACATAGTTACAACTAAGTCGAAGGACGTTTTCTTTGCACCCTGAATGCAATAGTTGTTAATTGTTGGAAAAATGAACTGATATATGTTTAGAAGTAAGCCGAGCAACATTACGGCGGTAATGTAATGTAGGAGTTACTTACGTGGAACGGTACACCCAATATCTCAAGTTTCCTTTGACGTTTAATATAAACTGGAAAGGCCAGAACACTTTGTATGAAGCACCAGGAATATCAAATATTAACGTGTTGATCACCAGATAGATTACAAACTTCGCTGCCATGACGTAACGATTCTGTAAAACAAAGGAATTGCTTTGTATTACTGTTCAAGTGTTGGGACAGCACTGACGCGGAATCTGTTGTCAACTTTGAAATAACAAATGATTTTAATTGATAACTCCGTGAAAGGATTATCAGAATTGAACATAACAATGCAACTGTAGAATTCATGTTGAAGAGACCATTTTACAGTTGTCTGTTCAGTGACCTGGCCTTTGAATGGCAGCGAGGCTGGATGTGACGTTGTTTTGACAAAGACCTCACTGTTTTTGTTGTGTAAATCAAGTTGTTCTTATGCTAACTAGTTTGCATTTGCATGAAACAAGCAGAGAGGTCTGTATCAAAGCAAGGTCACCTCCTGCCTCGGTGGCATTCATAGGCCAGGTAACTAAGCACACAACTGTAAAATGGCCTATTGCCTCAAAAGCAAGTACGTATAACCTCGTAAGCGAAACTGTAGAGCAACACGACTTCGGACTTTTATTTTATTAAGAAATTTGTCCACGATAAAAGGAGCATTTTGATTGGTTCCTTGAGTGGTCCGCAGTTTGCAAAACAGACGGCTGCACTTTGTTAAAGAAAGGGCTAACGCTCAAAAACATCAGCTGCGCTAACTCGCTACATACGGCGTAATGGCCTCTGTCATTCAAACCTTAAGCTGTGAACAGGACCTTGCTGGGGTAAAATGTTAAATCGCAGCTTTTAAAAGCGAAGAGAACTCGGTGGGCGGAGCGAGGCGAACTTGACCTGGGGACCACGAGAGGCCGAGATCTTCCTCCTCAGACTGCGCGCGCTTCGTTCTGCATTCGGGAACCTCATCACAAGCTTTTAAACCACGGCTAACTATGACATTAATTTCGAAATAACACTGATCATCAAACTTACATCATTGTATCTCTTGAACACCGACATCATGGCGTAAACTGTAATGAACCAGTATGTGTGCATAGCACATACGTAATACCGAACAAACTCGTGATTGGTCACTGCCATCACCATGACGACCAAAAAGTTGAGGCGAAACATCATCCTTAACAAGCGGAACAGTGAATAGTCTTTCTTTATCCAGAAATAGGAAAAATTACCTGACGATAAAAATAAAACACAAGTATGTTAGTAATAATATAGCACATCAAAACTTATTATCGAGGGTCGAGGAACTGGAAACAAACATCCGGTTCAGATATGACTCAATCTCGGTTCCAGGCCCTCTCCTTTTCATCCCTCAACGTTGAGGAGGAAAATGACAAGGGATGAGAAGGAGAGAGAGCCTGGAATCTTGGTTGGATATGGCTGACTTCGCAGGTTTCGTTTTGAGGTTACTAAGCAACTTGACGTTTTCTTCATGTGTTATGGCGTGGCAAATGTTGGAGTACTTTCGAGTGTTTGCAGTACGTTTTAATTGGATGAAAAATATCGGAAACTCTTCGACTGCTTTAAAGAGAGATTTGCCAATTCAAGAAAGGCGGCATTTGTGCTGCGACAGAGAAACTGAATCGTGTAACAGAGCGATAACTAGGTACGAGATTATCAGCAGCTTACCAAGCGAATTTCATTTTATTTCGTTCTTTCCTTGCTTTTGTTGTTTTGCAAAGCTCACAACAGTAGTTTAGCAAGGTAAACTAATTAAAAAATAATATTGCGTTTTCGTCGATGCGTTTTTGTCTATCATCCATATATTTACGGTGAGTCTTTGTTTCCAAATGCGTTCAGTCTGAACAGCATCTCAAACGTTTGCGTTTTTGATGATGATAACGAACGTGCTCGAACGTGTCAGTCTGGTCGGCAAAAAGAGCAGCAACGAAAATGCATCAGTGTGTACGGGACCTAAGAGTGAGAAAGACTTTCCCAGACTACAGCCTAGCTCGCGAGTGCGTTTTGTATCGTGTAACAAGAATGTTTTAGATTTCATAGTTCAACCATTCTATTTCATACCAAATCCCGTCATCCATACATAGGCAGCAATATAGCATCTGATGGAATTGAACACTTCTTGAGCATCAAAATAATGATACCACACAAACTGCACCTACAAATAGTCAGTGAAGACAGAATCAAAAATATTTCCAGAATCGATTAAAGAAAATTAATGATAACAAGTACAATTACACTGAGGACAGGCCAACCGTGAAAACTTGACAGTTTTTGTGCGTTTTTCTTTTTTTGTGAATTTAGATCAAAAGTTCATCATACAATCTACCAGACTAGCATTTATACAGTGTGAACATGCTGAATACTCTGGCTCTTGTTAGTGGAATTCAGTCACGGTTTTTAGAGTTATTTGGCCGCTTACAAAATTACCTCTAAATTGACGGAAACCTGAAAATAATAGTTTACTAAGATTGGAAATTACTAAAGAGATGATATTAAACCATAAAGAAAGGATGGCTTGGGATGAGAAAGATCGACACGGATTTGAAACGACAAAATTGGAAAATTTATGCTTAAGTTTTCAAGATGCTCAAACTGTGAAGTAGCTCCTTTAATGTGAAGCACCTTCATTCTTTAGTCACCAACAAAACGTGCACAGATATGTCAAGTGTCCACCGAATCGCGCGAATGGAAAGGAAATTTCGTTTCAACCAGCATGAAGTACAAGCAAAAAAAAGTACAAAAAGGAGGCTTCTGGAACTGGACCGGCAAGGTGATCAGTGCGTTGTTGTGTTCTAGAATAACTGAGATACTACGCGTGCTCTCAGTGGTCGATAGTTTCGCGATTAAATTCGTGCGTATTCTTGAGAAATATTTTATAAAAGCAATAAAGTAGTTTTTCCGTGTTTACAGCGANTCCTCGTGTTTAGATGAGGCTGTGTAAACACGGAAAAAGTGGTCTTTGCTTAACCGTAAAGCTGTTTTATTTTGACACAATTTTCCATGCGTAACTTAACGCATTTTGAATTTACATGTAGACAAACATAACTAACATTAGCGGCGTTTAGAAAGTTTTTCAAGATAATTACCTGTCACCCTGTTACCTGTCCACTTCGTGCCAAGTGGTACCTAAGGCCTCAAGAGGATCAACCTGCTTTTTATTTGACTGTTTCTTTTACTACCTTCATCCAATGTTAAAAACTCGGCATTGTGTGTAATGTGTCGTGCGTTCTGTAGACAACTGCCTACGACCTCGATCCTAGACTCTTTTGCCTCCTTTTTAACCCGTGAATTGCATAGGCAAGCTACGGGCTGTAGTGGTCGATCAGATTATGCAAATGATATGCAAATGACTGTCCATCTGTCGTCCGTAAAGCTTTTGGGGTACTTCTGCTGACACGTAGATAAAGCTCTTGAAAGCACTGTATTGCAGACGTATATATCATTTTACATTTCTAGGTCAAGGTATTACGTGACTGCGATTGTTGCACTAAACATGGAAACTTGTTTGTGTGTTAAATCTACGGGTTTGCTCATAGGGCACTTTGATTTCAACAAGGGAGGCGAAGGAGAGAGAACCTGGGATCGAGGTTGAATTGCGCCCTGAACGCAACATCCCGTTTCGAAAACACAGAAGGTTAGATTTTTTTTGGTTTTATTATACTGACCTGCATCCAGCCTTTCCACTCTTCAGTCTGATCTCTGTTGACGAGTTTCTCAGGTGTTTTACGAATAGTGTAAACAAAGGCCACGATAACCAGAAGAGCAAACAAAAAAACAAAGATGTCTCTGGAGTACTGCTTATGCGTCTTGGGCCTGTAACAAATGTATAAATTAAAGATTTTAATACCAGTAATGCCTCAAAAAAGGCTAAGCAATAAACTGCTGCAGTTTGCCTTAAATTTATGGAGATTTCATTCATATACAAAATTACTGGGTCATGAAATGTTTTGAGACCGGGGTTAAGGTGAAAAATTTTAATGATTTCATACAGAAGATTGAGAGTACTAACTACTTATTAAGCGAGAGTGAGGTCTTTACAGTCTTTACGGGAAAATCTCAGCCGAGACCATGCCGTATTCACTGAGCGACAGCGAGGTCAATAAGGTAATGTTGAGATTTGAGATTTTCACGCGAAGACCGACCGTTCGAGGTTAATACTGAAATAGTTAATTACAGGGCTGTAATGGGGGGAATCACCTCATAATGACAGAAGTATCACTTATAGTGAGTTAACCACTGCATATGATGAAGCAGATTAACATGAGATAGTGTTTGCGTTGCATACAACGAGATGCTTACCATATATGTTGATAATCACATAACCAGAAATAAAGCATTATTGCGCCAAAGACGACAGCTTTGGTTAAAAACTCTTCAAATGATGGTTGGTCCGGGTCGCTTTCAAGAAGTTTCTCAAACAGTCCTCTAGTACCCTTACTTTCCTCTGACGCATCTCCGCGACCAAATCGCGACACGGACGCTAAAATGAACAAAAAAAAACCAGTTTTCACCAGAAATTAAATGCAAGAAGATAACCAGTTAACAAAGGAATAATACTCGACACTTCGGTTTCGGAAAATATCGGTTACTCAACCCGTGAAGGAAACTGAAGAGATAAGGTGGCTCTGAAACTTTTCTGTGATCACACGTCTTCTCGCTTTTTATCTCGTGTAACCATGGATACCTGTTTAAACCTTCTGCTCACTTATTCGCCGGAATTTTTTAAACATGGTTGTTTGTTTTTTCTTTCGAAAGCATTCTCACCCTTTTGACATTCGCTCCAGAGCTTTCGTCCAAAGACTGTGCGCGTTCGCAAAAAAATATACATTAGCTGTTTTGTAGTCTATACGTCCCGAAGCACTGCAAGCGGAACTACGGACTACACCAGTATTATCCGCACTCCTTGGTGACTTCCTAGACTTCCAGGTTCTTGTTGAGAGTTTTCGTTTGTCCTTATGGCCTGCTTTTATAATCAATAAGCGGTTACTTACGCGGTTTAGAAACTGGATACACAGATATCAGCACGTTGTCCTTCTCTAGAGAGAAATGAGAGATCAGTGTTTCAAGTAGATTGAAAAGAAAATAATTTCTGAAAAGCACTTAAGCGAAAGAACATATCGGTTGTTCAACTCATTGGCATCCGTCAGCCTTAGAGACTATGGAGTTGCCCTCTGGCTAGTGGTTCTGGTGCAGCGGGTTTTTTAACTAAGTGAACTAAGTGCAGGATACTAGGGTTTTACACTTTCTGAATGGTTGTCGTCAAAGATGTAGCATCTTTGCCTATTCAGGACTCGCAAGGAGACGCAAGTTCAAAACTTGGGTCTACTTGCGATTCCCTTTGGTCAGACCTTGCGTGCACTTCCGTTCAAATGCAATGACTCGCGCTCACTCTGGTGGTGATCAAATTTTCGCGCATATCGACGCAAGTTTTTCACCGCTTGTCCACCCAGCCCAAGTCAACCCAAGTTGAGTGACGTCCATTCGTTTTTGTGATGGTTACGTTTTGGCCGTGCGGAATTTAGGCGGTAGCCTTGAAAAGGTTTTTTTGTTTTGCGACTTGCGTGTACTTGCGAGGAAACTTGCGAGTCAGACCCAAGTTACGCATGTTTAAATTGCAGCTACTTGCAACAACTTGCGAGTCCGTTTGGTCAGGGCTTTTAAGGGCTGATTACCCAGGTCGCAATGACTAACTGAATCTGAAACTCACAGTTTTATGGCTTCTCCGTTACGTGATATCATGCACCTGTTGAGGTTCATACCTTTCTCGGCCAAATCTTTCTCTTCATCCTCCATCTGCTTAGCTTTCCACTTGTCACGCCACTTTAGAATGTAACGCTTGGTTTTCAGCGTGACCCAAAGAAAGATGATCGACAACCATAATAGGAAAAGCGCCTTTTGGTGGAGAGTGATTGGCCGCGTTGGTTCGAGTCTGAAGTACAAAGAAATTCAATTGACACCTTAAATATTGACCTTATATATGAGTTATTGACCAAACAAGGTTGGTCAATAAAGTATAAATTATATGGCTTTCGAGGAAATTTTTCTTGCGGGACACAGCGGGTAATACCGAGCGGGCAAGATAACACCATAATGGCCCCTCGGATAGCCAATCAGAACGCAGGATTTGGCTCATCTTGCCTGCTCACGGTATTAGTCATGTAATTATGTGTTCTGTTACAGTCGAACCTGTATATAACGGCCCTGTATTAAGCGGCCACCCTCTATTAAGCGGCGGCCGGTTTTCAAAGCCGCGAATTTTCGCTCGTGCAAACGCTGCATTTGTTACCTGTATAAGGCGGCCACCTTTATTAAGCAGCCGCGGCCACCCTGTAGCAGTCCTATGTTTGTCTTTCTTTGTCATTTTTACCCGTAGTAAGAGGCCACCCTTGACCGGGTGACAGGTCATTTTATGCGGTATTGTATTGTGTATTAGCGCCCACCTGTATTAAACGGCCAGTTCCTCAAGTTCCGAGGGTGGCCGTTATACACAGGTTCGACTGTACAATACTCACTATAATTAACCTACCTATAGGACATTCGGGCCTTATATTTCTCTATAGAAAAAGGGAGAGTTCAAGACCCACTGTATTGTAATAAGTTATGCTCATTTGGCTTAGTGCAGTTTTCAGTTGAGGGTAGAAATTAATCAGGCCATTACTTTGGTTTTGGTTATACTGTTATACCACAGTTTGTGATTGGCTGAACGGTATAATTGGTAAGTAACTGATCCGGTTTTGGTTTTAAAACACTCATTTGAAAACCGCTCTATTTCACTGAGGAAATTCTATATGTAGAATGCAGAGCGACCTGCGCTTTTCGCCTTTCTTCTAATATCGACGATTTCCTAGAAATTATGAGAACGCTTGGCTCCGGAGGCTAGAATTTTAGCCCCTTACAGAATCTAAAGTTTAACCTCAAGCGACAAGGAGCGACAAAAAACGAAAAGCGACTGAGACAAATGGAAGTCCGCTCTCCTTGATTCCCGGGGTAACTGTTTTGTTTATAGACCTCCGTCTTCCGTGTTGCCGTTTGCCTCTTCTCCAGAGCAAGTACTCGTGCAAAACGTTTCAATTGAGAATGAGTTTGTTTGATATGAAAATGAAAGTGCAGGTGAAACATTTAAATATGTCATTGCATGCTTTCGCAGGAAGACTCGTTTTGACAATGAGGCAAAAGCAAGCATAATCTCTTGGGCAAAAGTCAATTTGGAAATGGCCTACTGTTTTTACCACTCGAAAATAAAATTAATATCTTCGCGCCGCCGGCCGTGTGATAATTTCTATACAGTTACCTGCCAAGTGTTCGGATAGAGTTCAAGTAGATATTGCGTTCTTCGTATTCGATGGCTGCGTTGTCCTTATAAATAGCCCCTCCCATTCTCGAGATTTTCCGGGAACTGCAAAAAACCAAAAACAAAACATTGGAAGATCACGGCCAGATATAAAGATGGCAGTACCTGTTAGCCCCAGGTCACACCAGCGACATAACAACATTAGCATAATGACATATGAAGGACTTTATGTCGTTATGTTGACAGGGTGAACATCATAATAGCAACATAACGACATAGGGAAAAAATTGAAATTTTCCTTATGTCGTTACGTCTATGTCGTTATGGCGTTATGTTTCTGTTAAAGCAAGTGTGAACATCATCGACATAGCAACATAACAAAGAACTAATCAGAGCGACGCAAGAATTGTAGAACCCAGACTGCCACCAGCACTGTTTTCAAAATGGCGGCGATTATCAAGTGTGGTCAGGAACGTTAATTTCGTTTACCTGAAACAATATTCTCATTACCTAAACGAAACCTTCTAATGAGGTTGTGGCACTGGCTTTGTGTTCTCCTAGCTTCTTGTTGAAAGATCGGGTGCATCCACTCTTTTCTTCTAGCAATTTTTCCTTTTGTTTTCCGTCGTCGAAGAAAAGAAACAGAATTATTGCAATTGCAATAAGTGTTTCTTCGTGCATTTCTTTAAGTCATCTCTTCACCTATCCTTATATATGTCTTTAAGTCGATGTTCACATTACCGATATGAGCGACTATGTCGTGATGTCATAATGTTGTTATGTCGCTAGTGTGCACAGAACGGGCACTGACCTACTGAGAAACGATTACTAGGTAACCGTTCGTTTAGGCCCGGAGCCGATTAGTTCCTCAATCATTTAGCCCCCAACTAGAAGTCCAAAACACTGTCTGTTTGTCGTTCTTTATTTAACCGGCTATGGGCTAATCGACTTGGGGGCTAAAGAACCGGTAACCCGATTACTGAATGCTGAGACCTACACCTTCCTGACTACCGCAATCTGGCAAATGAAACTAGAAATCAAAAGATGTAAAGTTGAATGAATAAAACTGATATATTACATGTCTTCTTGAAGATGTTGACTCTATTCAAAACGCGCTATTAGCTAAATTCTTTGAGTGGTTAGATTTCCCAAGTTTACCGTTAGCAAAAAGACAGGTATTTGGAAACTTTGGCCTATACAAATACTCAAAGAAACTTTCAAACAAAGAACGTGGTCTCCAAAACTTTACGAAGGGTTATTTAAACAAAGATAATTTCAGTTTTCCTTTCTGTACGTATTTATTTGCATTTTAACAATTATATTTGTATTCACGATACGTCTTGCATGTGGTTGTTTTTATTCCTTGAAAGGTATGTTGACATAATATAAAATTTTTCACAGTTGCAGTTCTGTTACATGCTTTAGATATTTCAGTGTTCTTTGACTACTTTTTTAGAACGATATTGCATCGAAAATATATAGGAATTCGCTATTTTCTCGCTGCAGGTTTAACAAGCGTTTTGACAGCAGGTGACCAGATGGTATAAGGTCACTCGAGCGTTTGAAATTTAAATCTAATTTTCCAGGACTAAACACCAACGTACATAACAAAACAAAGCCTTGTCAACAGTGGAAAATATGTCAAGAGTGGCGTCGTTTTCAACTACGTCCAGCAAGCAAAAAGAATAAATGATTAAATTCTTACTTATAGAAGAAAACCACTGACTAACCTGAGAAAAGCGAGAAGTTATTGAATAGATATCTTTAAACGTTTCTGCTTGGTCTGCCTTAAATGACAGTTGACCGATCATCAAAGGGGGGATTAGGTTCTGAACATTTCAAGCCGGAAGCAGAATTACGGGTTAAGTTCCCAGGTGTTGTCCACAATATTTCCTCAGTCGCGACTCTAAAGATCAGTTGACCAAATACGCTAGGTGTTTGTTGACTCAATGTGTAAAATTACGTCATTTTAATTGCGACAATCCGCTCGATACTTTTGACAACTCGTTAAAAGGGTCTCTTGTTGTTATGTCAAAGGCATGATTCTTTTAAGAGACCCGCTTTTTTTCTCGCATGGCAAAGTGTCGTTTTTATTCATTTCGCGTAATGAAACTTGGGCAGTGTCCACACTACGTCGGAGAAATCTGAAAACGGAGGTTTCACACTGAAAAGGTATCAAATGTTTTCCGTCCACGCTACGCAGGAGGAATTTAAAGACGCCACAATCACCGGTCATCAGTTTTGGATTTGTGTTTGAGGAAAACTCGGTCAGGGAAATCTCATGACCATCGTGATGTCATCGTTTTCGAAAAGCTCCGTTTTCAAAATATTTTCCGTCCAACGAAAACGCAAAGCCGACCGTCGTTTTCAAATTCGTCCTGTTTGAAGAGCGTTGTCGAAAGGTTCCGTTTTCGTGACAAATTAGTGTGGACGGTAGACCTAACCGTGGAAGTAAAGTTGCGGTTTCAAATTTCTCCGGCGTAGTGTGGATAAGGCCTTCATCAGCAGGAAACATCAGAAGTTATTTAAGCAATAGACCACAAGTTTTTATGGTTTATAGGCTGATAAACCACGCGGGATGTTGGAAGAACACGAGAAGAATTCGTAAATCACGGTCTATTGCTTTTATATAATAATTCAGAAGACACGCGAAATTTCCATGAGTTTACTGGCACAATAAATCATAGCTGATTGACTAATCAGAGCGCGCGCATTCATAACATTTTTGCCTGAAAGGTCCCTCTCAACTAATGTGCATTTAAAAAAATACTGCAATCTGATTGGCTGAGCTATCGTATACTGTCAGCGTTTAGTATTTAGTAGCTTGAGATCGCCCTCATAATGACTCTTAAAAAAGAAAATTGATTTTTGTGCGACTCAAAACCTCAAAACTGTTCAAAGAACTGACAAGCCCGTGTGAAGAGCCGTAAGTTTCAAACATCAATTGAATCTCGGCGTGATTTTGTTAATCTGAGGCGTGAAGTATAAACCTTTTTATAATATGTAAAGAAATAATAAAAACCATGCCTAATGTAGCATTTTTGTTGTTAAAAGTCATTTTTCCAATGAAAGAGTCTTAGAGGCAATTATCGACAACACCTTAGTTCCATCTTTACATGTGAACAGCCAAGAGAAAACAGCACATGAAACCAGTTTCCTTCGTCTGAACAATGCAATGAACACTAGATACACCTGTGCAGAAATAGTATCTGCCAAGCGTTATGTCAAAGGAGTTCAGCTTGAGGATGTCCTCAGAAAAGTCACTCCCACTGCCCCCTCTTTCAACAAGGAAAAAAACATGTGGAGTATATGAGGGGTGTATGAAAGATTTCACCTAGGGGAGGGAGGTGGGGGGGGGGGGGGGGGGGAGGGGG